TTTTGTCAGATTGACTAGGGGTTTGTCAATCTTGTTTACTTTTTCAAAGAACCAACTTTTTGTTTGGTTAAATTTATTTACTTTTTAGTCTCTACTCATCGATTTCTTCCCTGATCTTTACTATTTCTCGCCCTCTGGGATTGCCTTTGGTTGCTTGTTTATCAAGAGCCTTGAGGTGTATCACTAGGTTGTTTGATATTTCTCAGATTAAAATTTTTTTCCTCTGTGTGTGAATATCATACATGAGTCTTTGCATTATTTCCATCCCTCCCTCTCCCAGACTTTAAAAAAATATATTTTTTATTTTATGTGTATGGGTGTATTGCCTGTGCGTAGGTTAAGTGCACCTGTGTCATGCAAGGCCCACGGAAGACAGACGAGGTCATCGGATCCCCTGGAACTGGAGTTATGGACAGTTATTATCTGCATGTGGGTGCTGGGATTTGAACCCAGGTCTTCTGCAAGAACAACCAGTGTTCTTAACCACTGAGCAATCTCTCCAGCCCCAGATTTTTTTTTAATATGGGTGTTTGTTATTATAAACTTGCAGGTTTTTAAAATTTTGTAGCTGAATTTTTGTGATTTTCATAATATATACTTCGATGGCATTTATATCTGCTCTCCTCTCCCTGCCCCCACTACCTGAGCCCTATAGAGTATGATTTGTTTCCCCCAATGTCCTTTCAGTGTGGATCCATTCACTGGGCCTACCAAGAGTCTCAACTCTATAAGACACTGTCTTTCCCCCTCCTAGCAGCCAACAATTGCCAAAGTTCTTTAGGTTGGGTTGGGATTTCTCACTGTGGTCCCCATGTCTGTGCTGGGATTTTGTCTGGTCTGAGCTTGCCTTGACTTGTGCATGCTGTTATCATTGCTGTGAGTTCATATGAGTACCTGACCAGCTGTCTGGAAGACTCTGTTTCCTTGTGGTCATCCACCTGCTCTGGCTCGTACAATCTTTCTGCCCCATCTTCCACAATGATCTCTGAGCCTTGGGAGACAGAGATCTGAAATAGCGGTCTTATTCAGGGATAAGTACTCTGAGACCTCTTGTTCTCTGATCATTGGCCAGTTGTGGGTCCTGTGTTAATCACCATCAGCTGCATAAAGAAACTTCTCTGGTGAGAGTTAAGAAATGCATTCATCCTGTGTAGAGGTTATACTGAAGCAGTGTCACTTAGGGTTAAGCATCTCACAGACACTTATTCTCTGCATTTGACCATTCTGGAATTCTGTAATAGTTTCCATCTGTTGCAAAAAGAAGCTTTTTTGATGAAGGGTAAAAGGTACACTTGTCTGTAAATATGAGGATGTATATTTAGAATAAATTAAGAAATTATATTGGTCTAGGGATGTGGGAAAGGTTTTTCTCTAGGATTTGTGACCTTTCCAGCCATGTGTGTTTGGCTATGTTTACAGTACCAAACATGAGTTCTCTCCCACTTGAGCAGGACTTAATTCCAGTTAGACAGCTGTTGAGTACCCCCAAGAAAAAAGTTCCAGTACTGCACCAATAGTGATTGTTTTCTGGGCATTGTTATTTATTAGGATTATTGATTGGTTTTTCTCCCTTAACAGCTTGTATAATATCCTCTGATACCATGAGAGCTTAGTCTTCGATTGCTCCAAGTCTTATGTCCAAAGTGTGGCCTGTCTTCAGCAATAGAGTCTTACCTTTAAGATCTGGGTGGTAATCTAGGGCTGTGGCAATAGCCTGTGCTATTTTGAGAGTCTCTTGGAGTACCCTAACCAACACAACTTGAAGGGAAGTTTCTCCTGCCCGGCACTGTTTTTTGGTTTTTTAAAATATGTATATAGGAACTGGAATCTTTTCATGTGTGTAGTAATGAGAGGTCTCTAGAGGAACAAAACCATATATATATATATATATATATATATCCTTCAGCTATACACATGTCCTCATATATTTATTGTGTGTGTTTTTCAGTAGTACTTTGAACTAATCCACCTCTCTCTGGTTTTTCATACCATCTAAGCAGTGTTGTGCAGTCCTATGGGCCCTGGAGGTAGAGGTCTGCTGGAACAGAGGGCACCCACACAGCTGGAGATGAATGTCTGATCACCCAGCACTCCCTGCGGCCAGCTGAGGCAGAGGCTGGTACGTCCCCACCAGATGAAAGCCTGGCAGCAGGAAGCCAATCCATGCCACTAGAAACCTGTTTTTTGTTTTGTTTTGAGGCAGGGTTTCATAAAGTCCAGGCCAATCTTGAACTCACTATGTAGCCAACAATGATCTGGAACTTTTGATCCTCCTCTTGAGTCTGGGATTGCAGGCATGTGTTACCATGCCTGGTTTTATGGGCTGCGGGGATCAAACTCAGGTCTTTGTGTATGCTAGGCAAATACTATACCAACTGGTTTACATCTTCAGCCCTGTTTTAATTTTCTTGCTACATTAAGACATTCTTAGTCAAGATAAATCTTGGTATAAATTGATGACCATTGCTTGAGATGAATCCTTTAGCATAGAGTTTTGGGTTAAGAAACTAGTCTTTGGTCACACTGTGCCTGTTCTCTGATATACCCCTCCTGACCCACCTACAAACATCTGGGAAGCCTTCCATCCCCTCCATGCTGTTAGATGCTGCCACCACTGTGTCCCTGTGTTCTATTGCCACCGTTTAGAAGGAAAAGGCCTGTGCTTATGTTTCTTTTTCTTTAAAGTTGTCCATTGCTCAATAAGTCAGGCATCCTCGGGCCTCACCAGAATTTTAGAGTCCCTGAAAATAAGCTATGGGTCTTTTTCTTTAAAGAAGTAGAATTAAGGCAGAGATGGGGTGGCATACACCTGCAATCACAGCACTTAGGAGGCTAAGGCAGGAGAACCCCAAGTTTGAGGTCAGTCCGGGATACATGGTGAGTTTCAGGCCAACCTGGGTTTGGATAGCAAGATTCTGTCTCAGAAAGAAAAGAAAAACGAAAAGAAAGACAAAAAAAAAGATAAATAAATAAATAAATAAATAAATAAATAGTAAATAATTACTATTAGTTTGAACCAGTAAGCTACCAAATATTCTCAGCTGGGTTTGCTTTTGGTTTTTGAGACAAGGTCTCCCTGTAGCCACAGCTGGCTTGGAGCTACCTGCACAGACCAGGCTGGCCTTGATCTGTCTGCCTTTGCCTCCAGAATGCTGGGATTAAAGGCATGCACCACCACCAGCAGCTCTTTCAGCTGTTTTTAAAGTTCTAGATAAAACTTCATAGTATTTTTCTCCCAAAAAGTCAACATGGGAAGATCTATGAGTTGTCTTGATGTGAGCAGAGGATCTGTGTCCTGATACCATCTTCATGTGCCTCCTGATCGACACAACTGACTTTTGGGGGTACTTCCTCATATTATTAGTCCTGACTTAACAAAGGAAGGAGTTTAAAATTCCTTTCCTGCTCAAAACCCCTAAAATTCTATTAGTCTTACTGGACCAGTCTTCATTTTACCAGGATTTGTACTGAAAAGTCCCCTTTCCATTTCCTAAGACTTTAGATCCCAGTGTGGTTGGGAGGGAGGAGCAGCTGGAATTCTGGGGTAGTAGAAACCAGAGTGTGATATGGATATGAAGTCTTAATCTGGGTCCAGCTAACTTGCGAGGGCCTGAAAGACAGGATAGAGAAAGACTGCCTTTCTGCCAGCAGTGGCTCCTTAAGAGTTTCCTTTTATCATGGACCTGCTTCAGGTGTTGGGAGAGAGAGCAAGTCTCTGTGGATGCTATGGGACTGGGGTTGGAGTTGTCAGGTTCTCTCAAAAAGACTTTGGAAACTGAAGACAAGAAAGGAATGTGGCCAAATTTCCCTTCAAAGTGCTCTGTTAATGGCCTGCTATATTTGACAAAGATCAAGTCTGAGCCAAAGCACAAGCTGAAACCATATCTCTAATATGCAAATATGCACAAGCAAGCTATGTCTTTTAAACTCCTGTAGCACATTAATTTTTATCTGTTATTAATGAACATTTCCATATGTTGGGTGCAATGGATACACTATTAATATCCATTATAGCCCACCGAGGTAAATATTATTTAATTCATTTCACAGATGTGGAAACTGAGGCATAAGAGGTTAAGTTGCTGAAGACAACAGAGTTGGCAGAGCTGAGACCCAAAGCCAGTCACTTTTGATGTGAAAGCTCATTTTATTTAGGTTACTGGGTTATTCTGCTTCATTCAGTAGATTTGTGTCCAAGACTTACAGTACCAGTCCCTCAGGGGCCCTTATCATGCTTTTCTCTTAACTTGAAATGCTTTACATAAAGCCAGCAAATAACGATTGATGTCTGTTGCTTCAAGAAACAGCTGCATCGTGTACTGATCATCAGAGGCCATCTTTGTGGGGTTCTTTCTTCAATTTTTTAATTGAAATTTTAAGAACTTATTGGAACGTTGCAAGAACAGCTTAACACATAGATTATTTTCTACTTATATTTATCCGTTGTTAACATTTTGTCATATTTGTCTATTTTTTTCTGGACCATTTAAGAGTTAGTGGTAGACATACTTCTAAACACATCAGCAAATATCTCCTAAAAACAAAGCCACTTCTACATAACCAAGACGCACCACCCCAGGGGATTTTACTTTGCTACAGCACTAGTCTATATTCAAATCTCCCCCATTGCTTCGATAGTGTTAATTCAATAGCTGTTTCGTTTGCTTGTTTTATCCGCAGTCCAACTTAGAATCGCACACATCTTTCAGCACCCCACGTTTCTTTTTCTCTCCTTTAACCTAGAACAGCCCGCCAGCCTCCTGGAGCCGGACAGTTGGCGGTGTGGCCCCGGCCTCTCCGCACGCCGAGCCTCTGGCGCTACCCCGCGCGCACTCGCGCTCAGGGGCGCCGGGCGCGCAGGCGCCGCGGGGAGAGGTCGCGCAGGCGCGGACGGCGTAGGTTCTGAGAAGACCTTCAGCGTCGCCCCGGCCGAGCGCCTACTGGACCCCGGGTCGTAGGTGAGGTGGCCGCCGCCGAGCGGGCGGGAGGAGCGGAGGCCGCGGTGGAGACGCCGAGCGGCCTCGGGGAGGCGGGGGACCTTCTCCCCGCCGTGCGGACCGGCCTTCTTCCCCCGGTCTTGCGGGAAACGCGGGGAGGGCGGTTTCTAGAGCGCTGGAGTCCGCAGTCCGCACCCAGCCCTGCCGTTCCCCGCCTTCCGGACGAGTCCGGCATCCGTCCGGCGAGTGTTGCACGGCTTACGGCCCAAGTGAGGTTGCTGTTCGTGCACCTGGAAAAGCAGAATCGAGGAACCCAAAGGGCCCTTCGCTGTCGGTTTCAGTGGCTGTGTGGAGCAGGATTATCCAGTTAGCGCGTTTTGTTTTGCTGTCTGGGTCTAATGCATCCTTGGGGCATGGTGCATGTCTGTTTTGTGGAGCTAATAAAAATGCGACGTTATAGCTTTACTCTCAGCTAACGCCCAGGCTGTGGTACCGCCTCAGTTTTTGCTTGATCATACCTGCAATGCATTTCCCATCAGAATCATGGGCCTTGATGAATAAGAATGAGTTAGGCCAGACTAGTTCAGTTGGTAAGCTAAACTTCTTGACTTTTGCAAGGCGCTGGTTTTGAGAAACAGTAAAGCAAAATGTTAAAAGCTTGTAATTAGTGCTTAGATGTATGTTTTGAACATTTCAGTGTATCTTATCCTTGGTCAACATGAAAACCAGACTAAAGCTTCAAACATTTCTGTCTGGATGTGTAAGACCTGCTTTTCAATACCTCCCTCCAAGACTTATGGCAGAATTTCAGTAGGTATTGCATCAGTTATGATTATAAAAATGATAACACCAAATTGGAAGAGTGGGACTATGTAAAAAAAAAGTTTGGAATTGGTCATTTGGGTACAAGAGATAGGACTGTAAAATTGCTCTGGAAGTGGACTATAACCCCTGTAGCCTGGAGTAAATTTTCATTGCGGAAGATGTAATAAGTCAATACTAATTTGCCTTTCCTGCACTCTTGCCTCTTAACTTTTTTTTCCCTTCGGGTTGGTACCTGGGAATGAACTCATGGTCTTGCCTATAAATGATACATGATCCACCAGTGCGTACCTTTCCTCATAATATTTTTTTGGTGTGTTGTGTACATGTGTTTATGTGGTGTATTTACGTGTATATGTAGTCCAGTGGTTTATATTGGGTGTCTTCCTTGATTTTTCTCCATCTTACGTTTTTGAGATAAGGTCTCCTCACTGAACCTAGTGCTCATCCATTTGACTTGACTGTCTGACCAATGAGCTCCAGGGATCCAACTGTCTCTACTTTCCTTACCCCTTTAAGTACTCTGTGGGTGCTGGGGATCCTACTTAGGTTCTCATGCTTGTATGCCAATTGAGCCATCTCCCTAGCCCTCAATCAACTTTATATATGAATTTTTAAAATATTATTTTATGTGTATGAGTGTATTGCCCACATGTATGTAAGTGCATCTGTGTGGTGCAGTGCCTGCAGAGGTCAGAACAGGGCATCGGATCCCCTGGAACTGGAGTTACAGATGGTTGCTATGTGGGAATTAAGCCTGGGTCCTCTGCAAGAGCAGTCAGTGCTCTTAACTACTGAGCCATCTCTCCAGCATTTTCTTTATGATTTTTATGTATTCTTTCCCTTTTTCTTCTGAGACAGGGTCTGCCTATAGCCCCGACTGACCTGGAATTTGCTAGGTAGTCCAGGCTAGCCTGAGATCTGCCTATCTCTGCTTCCTGAGTTCTGGGACTAAAGATGTGCATCACCACACCTGACATACTATTTTCTCTTAACTTTATATCATAAGTGTGTGTATTTGACCAGTACAAACTCTAAATGAATTCTCAGTTAAGAATGGCGTCAAGTTGAGCTTGGTGGCACACACCTGTAATTCAGCTTTTGGGAGGCAGAGGCAGGAGGATCTTCTAACCTACATAGCAGAGTTGAGGCCAGCCTGGGCTGCATAGTGAGGCATAGTGAGTCCCTGTTCAATTATAGGTAAAAGCCTAGCAGAAGCCCAGATTAAGAGCTGGACTGAACATAGATAGGTTTAATTTGTGTCGTGTCAATGCTTTGGGCATAGTATTTGTAACTTGCAGGTATGTCCAACCTTTTGAAATTGTGACACAGTGTTGTCATCTACAAAGTTCATGCTCAGCAACTTTGTCATCTGTAAAGGTCATGCTCAAGAACCTTATAATCAAGTTACTTTTTTTCTTTTTTGGGACATTTGAGACAGGGTCTCATTATGTAGTTCTGACTGGTCTTGAACTCCCTATATAAACCTGGCTGGCCTTGAATTCATAGAAATCTGTCTTATGCCTGAAATTAAAGGCATGTGCCACCATGCTTGGGTATGTTTTTTTGTTTTTCCCCACATTTATTTGTTGGGCAGCGGGGGGTGTGCTTTTTCCAATATGTGATGGTCAGAGGACAACTTCTGGGAGTTGGTTTTCTCCTTCCACCATGAGGGTTCCCAGCATTGAACTCAGATTATTAGGCTTGGTGGTAAGTGCTGAGCAATTTTGCCCACCCCAAATCAAATGAGTAATGTGTGTGTGTGCGTGTGTGTGTGTGTGTGTGTGTGTGTACACAGCATAGCCTGCTTGTGGAGGTCAGAGGACAACTTGTGAGAGTTGGTTCTCCTTATCTACCTTGTGGGTTTGGGGAATTCAGCTCAAGTCATCAGGCTTGGTAGCAAGCGTTATAACCTGTCAAGCCATCTTATCAGCCCCAAATCTCATGTTTTAATTAAGCTTACTTTTTTGTTGGTAAATGGGTCACATTTATAGCTATCCTTGGCTGTATGTAGCCCCCAAGCAGGACATTCCTGGAAACTGATAATAAAATCCTGCTAATGGGCTTATCTGAAGCACTTCTGTAATTGGTTAGACATGGCATTTGAGTTGCAACAGGGACACAACAGGAACTGGTGCAGGAAAAGATCTTCCGTATGTAGAGGGCAGAGGAGGGTGTTCAGTACTGTTGGTAGGATTGGAGAAAGTAGTGTGAGGGTCATCCTGGTTTTCTATAAAAGCTGGATGAATAACGAGTAGGCAAGATACAAAGTCAAGGCACCCAGGGTTTTCAAAGGCTTTGACTTCAGGTTCTCACCAATTTTTGTTAAGGGGGTTACTGCAGGTGGATTCTATCCTATTTCTTTGTAATGGTAAAATTAAAACATTTAAAGAAAAACTTTAGAGGGATCGAACACTGGATGAGTATATTTTATTTAGTAGGTGATGTTTGGAAGTTTTTATTTGGTTGGTTTGTTGTTTTGACAGACTGTCCAGCAAGTTCCTGGGATCTGCCTGTCTCTATGCCCTGATGCTGGGGTTACAGGCATGCATAGCCATGCCATTTTTTTTATGTGGGTGCTGGGGATTCAAACTCTGGTCTTCATGCTTACGGGACTTTTTTTTTTTTTTTTTTTTTTTTTTTTTTTTTTTTTGGTATATGTGGTATTTGGGGATTGAATTTAGAGGCCTCAATGTGCTAGGCAAATGTTCTACTACTGAGTGATGCCCCAGTTCTCTTTTTTACTTTTTCATTTTGAGTCAGGCCTGCTGTGCACTAGCATACTGTGTGTGTATTCATGTGCGTGTGTGTATGGGGGGGGGCGTTATGGTGTTAGGATTGAACCCAAGGTCTCAAACCTCAATCCTGAGGATTTTAATTGCGTGTATTTTTGCAGTTTCTTAAAATTTTTGCTTTGTGGGCTGGGGACATAACTCAGTAGATGAAGTGCTTTCCACACAAAAATGAGGACTTGTATATGCGCCCCAGGACCCATGTAAAAGAACCAGGTGTAGTGGTATGGATTGTAATCCCTGCCTTGGGGAGGTGGAAAGAGGCAGAATCCTGGGGCTCTCTGGCTAGCCAGCTTAGACTACTTGGTGAGCTCCAGACCAGTGAAAGACCATCTCAAAAACAAAAACAACGATGAAGGCTGGAGAGATGGCTTAGTGGTTAAGAGCACTAGCTGCTCTTGCAGAAGACCTGGATTCAATTCCCAACACCCACACAGTGGCTAACAACCGTCCATAACTCCAGTTCTAGAGGAATATGACACTGCCTTCTTCAGACACTGCATGACATGGGTGCACTGACATACATGCAGGTAGTACACTTACACACAAAATTTAAAAAAGAAAAAAAGAATGGTGCCTGAGGAATGACACATATGCATTTGTACCTCCACAAATGTGTACCTCCACATACACACATCCACATATATGCTCATTCACAGGCATACACAAAAATCTAAGAAAGCATTTTCTTCAGCCTGTGAGAACTTTCTTTTTCTGTTTTTTTTTTTGTTTGTTTGTTTTTGTTTTTTTTGGTCTTTTTGAGACAGGGTCTCCCTGTAGTTCCAGCTGGCTTGGAACTTGCTGTGTAGACCAGGCTGGCCTCAAACTCACAGAGATCTGCCTGCCTCTGCTTCCCAAGTGCTAGGATTAAAGGCGTGCACCACCACACCTGGCTGACAACTTTCTTTTCTTTGAAATGCAGTCAGAAAGATGACCTCTGAATCTTGTGAGACAGCACTTTTGTTTTCTAGTGTTCTAAAATGTTATTTTTTCAGGCACAAAATGCCTTTGAATTCTGATTGCATTAGGGTCTTAACATTACTTCACAAGATGGAAGAGTGGAAGAATTATGAGTATGTACATAGTAAATGGTTATTGTTTTGTTCCCATTTTTTAAAGCTATGTGTAACACACCAACTTACTGTGACCTAGGAAAGGCTGCCAAGGATGTCTTTAACAAAGGATATGGTAAGTATACAGTTGTAAAGTTTCAGCGTTGAATGCCTGTTGTGTGTAAGATACTGTGCTAGTAAAATAAAGCTAAGTCAGCATTAATCTACATCGTAAGTCTTAAGGGATAAATATTAACAGACTTTTATATTTTACAAACATCCTTTACAAGTATTAACATCCTTTACAAACATTAAGAACAGTTACATACATATACATGTAATTGTACATATTTAGTACCTATACTATGAGGTAGCATGCAGTATGTCTCTTTTGAGGGGACAATTAAAGTGCTTCTTCCCCTCCATATAGTGTTTTTGTTGGTGGTGGTGGTTTTGTTTTTTTTTTGTACCATTAAGACAGGATCTTACTATGTTCCTCTGGCTGGCCTGGAACTCACTATCTAGACCAGGCTGGCTTTGAACTCACAAAGATATCTGCCTGCCTCTGTTCCTGAGTGCTAGGATTAAAGGCTTGTGCCACCACACCTGGCCCATATAATGCTATTTTTTAAAAATTATTATTTTTATTTTATATATATGAGTGTATTGCCTGCATGTAGGTAGGTGCAACTGTGTCGTGCAGAGTGTGAGGAGGTCAAAAGAGGGCATCGGATTCCCTGGAATTGGAGTTAGGGATGGTTGTCAGCTGCTATGTGGGTGCTGGGGATTGAACCTGGGTTGTCTTCAAGAGCAGCCAGTGCTCTTAACTGCTGAGTCATCTTTCCAGCCCCCCCTTTTTAAATGAAAATGAAGATGTGATTTTTTAACTTCTTTTAATATTCTTTTGATTCCAAGTAGACATTTATATTTAGGTTTTAAATTTTTGTTTTTAATTTATACATTTATGTACATAATATGATATATATGTGTATATATGCTCACAATAGACATACATGGATATATATGCATATATATGCACACACACATATATCAGCATATTATTTTTGGGTAATTTTAGTTCTTAGAACATGTTTTTTCTTATTTTTCATATTTTAAAGGTATGACTTCACTCATTTTGAGGGACTTTAGAATTATATTTCTTTTGTTACAATTTAGTTTCTTTTTGAATTCTCACTTAATGAGAATATCATGTATTTTCCATATGGAAGGTATTATTTGAGTACCATGTTAAATTTTGTGCATTTAATTTTGTTTCTGTTTCTAGGATTTGGCATGGTCAAAATAGATCTGAGAACTAAGTCTTGTAGTGGAGTGGTGAGTACCTAAATATATATATATATATACACACACATATACACACACATACACACATATGTATATATACACACACACACATATATATATATATGTATACATATATATAATTTTTTTTTTTTTGAGACAGGGTCTCCTTATAGCCCCAACTGGCCTGGAACTCTCTATGTAGACTAGGCTAGCCTCAAACTCACAAAGATCCACCTGCCTCTGCCTCCCAAGTGCTGGGATTAAAGACATGCGCCACCATGCCCAGGCATACCTAGTATATTTTTAATAGATATAGCACAGTTAACTTAAAGGAACTGACTTTAAAAATAGCTGGATACTGTAGTTGTATAAAACAACATATTCTTGACACAGCTGTCTGCCTTACAACTTTGCCCTAACCTAAGATTTCATGGAGCCTGTGAAACCTATAGACAATTAGGTTGAATTTTAGGGGACCCTTTGTGTTTGTCTTCATAAATGTATCCTGAATCTTATTCTTTTATGATACAGAGTATGTGGCTGGAGAGGTGGCTCAGCAGTTAAGAGTACTGACTGTTCTTGCAGAGGACCCGGGTTCAGTTCCCAGCACCCACACGATGGCTAACAGGTGTCAGAAACTCCAATTCCAGGGAATCCTACACCCTCTTCTGACCTCTGTTGGTGTTGCATGAAACAGGTGCACTCACATACATGCAGGAGTATACTCATACACATAAAAGGTAAAAATAATAAAATATTTTTTAAAAAAGAAGAAACAGAGTATGGGTTTTTTTGTTTGTTTGTTTGTTTTTTTTTTTGTCTTTTGAAATGGTCTCCCTGTAGCCACAGCTGGCCTGGAACTCACTATGGAGACCAGGCTGGCCTGAGATCCAACCGCCTCTGCCTCCCACATGCTTGGATTAAAGGGGCACACCACCACGCCAGGCCAGAGTATGTATTTTTGACTCCGGTCATGTTTATACTTTCTTGAATATGCATGAATACCTTTACTTCCATTACTATGAGTTCACTTAAGTTTTATTGCATTTCCAGTTTTTGTTTTTTTTTTTATGTGTATGAGTATTTTGCTTGCACCCACGTTGTGCAAATCCCATGGAGGCCAAAAGAGAGCGTCAGATCTCTGGAACTGGAATTAAGGATGGTTGTTAGCTGCCATGTGGTTGCTGGGAATCAAACCTGGGTCCTCTGCAAGAGCAGCCAGTGTTCTTAACTGTTGAGCCATCTCTCCAGCCCCTAAGATTTATTCTGTTTTTACAAAAACAAATTAAGGTTAAGAATAATCAGTTAAACCAGGTATGGTGGCATACAGTTTTAATCCCAGCACTTGGGAAGCAGAGGCAGGCAGATTTCTGTGAGTTCAAGGCCAACCTGGTTTGCAGTGTTGTTGAGTTCCAGGCCAGGTGGGGCTGCAGGGAAACCCTGTCTCAAAAAAAAAAAAATAATTTTAATCTCTGTCCTGTCCTTATTAACTTATATAAAAGGTAGAAATACAAGATTATTTTACAGTTTTTAACTGATTTTTAAAAAAAAATTTTGAGATGGGGTCTCACTATGTTACATAATATGAAGTAGCATACACTTATAGTATTTATGTCCCATTTGGCTATCCTTGGGCACTATTGAAGTGCTTCCCCCACTCCATATAAATCTTTCGTTTTTGAGACAGGGTCTCACTTATAGCTCTGGCTGACTTGGAACTTGTTATGTAGATGAACTGGCCTGGAACTCATGGCGATCTGCCTGTCTCTGTCTCCTGAGAGCTAGGACTAAAGGCACATGCCAACACTCCTGGCTTAACTGATTATTCTTAACCTCCAGTCTTTTCTACTAGAAGTCAAGAATATGATAAAATACTTATTAACATATTTTGAAGTGTGTCATTAACCAGAATTTTTATGTAATAAATCTCAGCAAATAGATTAACTTTTTCAAGACCGGATCTCAATAAGTTTTCCATGCGGACCTTGAACACACTCTAGCCCAGGACTTTTGATCTTCTTGCCAACCTTCGAAATAGCTGGGTTGACAGGCCTGCGCCACTGGGCCGGGTGCATTAATTTTTTTTTTTGGCTCTGGTGCCAAGAATCAAACCTAGGTGCTTTGCATGCTTGGCATACTCTTCACCATTGAGCTGTACCACAAATTAACTTTTAATTCACCATAGTCTCTGATTTTTTCCTTAGGCTATATCTTTAGTTGGTGCTAACCTATTCAAACCCATGCAAGTTTTATTTATTTATGAATATAATTAGTTTTTGTTTTTTTTTTTATCTTTTTGAGACAGGGTCTCCCTGCAGCCCCAGCTGTCCTGGAACTCACTATGTAGACCAGGCTAGCCTTGAACTCACAAAGATTCCCCCTGCCTCTGCCTCCCAAGTGCTGGGATTAAAGGCATGAACTACCACGCCTGGCATGAATATAATAATTTAATTGGGATAAAAAGCACGTGGAATTCCTTTGATATTTTGTATTGTACTTTGTACAGCTGTGGTTTGCTAATATCACCCTTTCTCTTGGTTTCTGTATCATATATCTGCCTTACTAAGGTAGGCATATTGTGTATATGGTTCTGTTAAAATAGGTTTCAAAATGTTCACAAATTAAATTTGTATTGCAAAAGTCACCTATAATTTTCTCTCCCTTTCATGCTGCTGTGGTGTGGTAATATGCATTTAGATGGTAAGGAAATAAAAAAACGTATTTGTGTGCTTGTTTTATGATTGCTTTTGGTCTCTGTAGTGATCTAGGTTAAATTTTATCCTTTGTTGCACACTGCTTGGATTCTGTTTTAACAGTAACTCTTTTGTTTTTGTGTTAATTATTAGACTTTATGTACCTGAAGATGTCCTAAGTGCATAATGAGTATATTTTTTGCTATTTGATCTAATGGTGGCATTTGACAAACTGATAACAGCTTCAAACTGAAGCAGTTATGAACCTAGAATACAACTTAAAACAGTCCTAGTCTTCTCTTTGAAATTTATACCTCTGATACTTTAAATTTTTGACAGAACTTCAACTAAGAGATGATATGGTAACAAGGAAGACATAATTCGCTACTCTTTCACCTTAATTTTGTGTATAAAGCTTTCCTAACACCAAAATACTTATGTTTGCTATGATTGTCGTTTTAGAAAAGTAAATGTAAAAAATAAAATATTGGACAGTTGGATTTATTATTAAAAGCAAACGATCGTCACACTAAAGAATTACTTAATGGCTATGCTTTATCATTTCTTCCTAACCCTCACCCTAAGTGTAGAGCACAGTTTTCACTTGGGACACTTTCTGTGTGGTGTTGATAAACAGATCATAGTGTCGTCATCTTTTCATCTCTGTGGACCTAGAGTTAGGGGGTAGGGCACTCATTAAAGGGAGGATTAAGTTTGCAGGCAGTGAAACAACTGCTTGAGAAGGGCAGCCTTTCATTGCTGCTTGCAGGATTTCAGAAATGCTCCTTGAAAACAGTGCCAAGCAGAGTGCTTTTTTTTTTCTTGACAGTCATAGATTGTCAGTGACAGATACTCACTGCTTCCCCCCGGAAGAAGGTCTATTTCTAATTACTTACTGTCTTATGATAAAAAGGACACTTATCATGGGAAGAGGATATTCTTACTGTAGTGATTATTTGGTATATTAGAGGGTAGGCCAGATGAAGGAGGAGGAAAGAAGATAAATCTCAGTATTCTGTTTTATTGTGAAAATGGGTAGATAACTTCAGATATTGTTGAAAATGTTTTTACTGAAAGTTTTACAGGCCAGATGAAGGAGTAGGAAATAAGATAAATCTCAGTATTCTGTTTTATTGTTAAAATGGGTAGATAACTTCAGATATTGTTGAAAATGTTTTTACTGAAATTTTTACAGATATTTTTTTTTTTAATTTTTAAAAATGATTTATTTAATAACAACATACTTAGAAGAAGCATATCATTACAACACAATTGACATATTCAATAACGTTTTCCTGAAGTAGGATGCATCTCTTTCAAATTTGGCTGTAAATTTTTAGGCTTACAGTTGAATTATTACAGTTATACAATATTGTACTCAGTATAAACCCTATAAGACATAAATTAAATGATGTTTTAACCTTTAAAAAGATCTCCATTTCATTATTAAAAATTAAAATTTCATATAGAAAAATTCATTTTAATGCAATTAACATTAAGATGTTTGCACATGCATTTCTAATCTACAAGTTATTTTTATATCCAGTGTAGGAGTCTCCAACCCAGCACTGTGATCTCCTAGCACCCTTTTCCTTCACAGTACCTACCACTGCATCACATGCCATTGGGGCATTTTCATAGCACCTCTCACTGAGGTCAGCTTGTGGCTGAAGCAAAGCAGGGGCCCAGGATGATCGTCATTCTAAGGAATCAAGGGAATCACATCATGATTATATGATTTTTTGGGGGGGCATCCCTTTTTAAAGAACTTTGACCATTACCTGTAGCTTTAGAGGCATAATGTTAAAAGAAAGTAAGCATATTGAAAATTATTTTTTCCCTATAACTTTTATAAACTTAAAATTCCTTATTTGTAAAGTTGAAACACTACCTTTTAACCATCTGAATGTACTTGTGGAAGACCTAAGAGACAAAGCAGAGGAAAAGAGGGGGAAGCCCATGCTTATTCAGCATCTGCTCAGTCTGAAGCAAATTCCACCGATGATGTTAGTGCTCATCTTGAGAGGATGGCATTAGGGTTAATAGTTTATGCATGAAGAACTCGAGACACATGAGGATAGTGCTCTGGTGGCACCCAGATATACCAAACAACGTATTCCAATAGCATGTAATGTTTTTGC